TGCACCACCACCACCACCACCACCGCCACCACCACCCACGTCATCATCATCAACCTCGCGTCCCGCCGCGACCGCCGCGCGTTCATGGAGGCGTCCTGCGCCGCGCCGCTGCGCGACCGCGGCGTCGCCGTCGAGTTCCTCGACGCCGTCACCGCGGCGGCCTGCGGCGCCCGCGCCTGCGCCGCCTACGCCGTCCACGAGGGCTTCGCGCTCGGCGACGACGCGCTCGACGCCTTGGTCGACGCGTGGCACGCCGGCGGGAACGCGGCCGTCGCGCGGTCCGCGCTGGAGCGCTACTACGGCCGCGGCGTGCTGCCGGCGGAGGTCGCCTGCGCGCGGTCGCACGTCGCCGCCTGGCGGCGCGCGGCGGCGCGCTTCGCCGACGACGCGGCGCTGGAGAAGGTGCTCGTGCTCGAGGACGACGCGGTGCCGTGCCTCGGCCCGGTCCGCGCGGCCGATTGGGCCGGCGTCTACGGCGCCGCGTGGGCGGCCCTCGTGGCGCGCCTGGCCAAAACAACACTCCCAAGCGACGTCGACCTCTTCTACGTCGGCCGCCACCGCCTCGGCCCCGACGGCGGGCCGGCCGGCGCGGTCTGCTACCCGGCGGGCTTCTCGTCGTGCCTCCACGCCTACGCGCTGACGCGGCGCGGCGCCGCGCGCCTCGACGCGATCAGCGGAAACTTCCTCCGGCGCGTCGTCCCCGCCGACGACTTCGTGCCCGCGCTCTGCGGCGTCCACCCGCGGCGCGACCTCGTGGATGACGGTCTACACTTCGTCGCCGCCGCTTTTTCCCCCGAGGCCGCGCACCAGCTCTGCTCCGTCGCCCTCCCCGGCGACGCGCTCGCCGGCGCGGCGGCGTCGAGCATCGAGGTCGACGGGGACGGGTGGCGCTGGGCGCGGCCGTCGCTCTACGTCGCCGCGGCGGATTTCCGCGCGCTCGCGGCGAGCTGCGCGGCCGCGCGCGACGCGCTCGGCGACGAGGCCGCGTGGCGGGCGCTGGCTCTCAAGGACTTTGACGGGTGGCGCGGCGGGAGCTGGCGCTGCGCGTACCGAAGACAGGTCGCGGCCGCGCCCGTGGCGCCGCCGGCGCTCGCGACGCCGAAGCTTCCTGATGTGTCCTGGTTCTGCACTGACAGACATGCCCGCGTCCTCGACGCCGCGCCGGGCCACCCGCGGCGCCTCGACGCGCCCGCGCTCGTCCGGAACGTCGAGCGACGGCGCGTCGTCCTCGACGACCTCGCGGGGCCGCTGACGTGCTCGTCCGGCGACGGCGACGTTTCCGTGGACGCCGCGGACTTTTTGAACTACGCGAGGACGACGCGCGACGCGGACCCGCTCCTCGTCTTCGACGCCGGCGCCGCGGCCGCGCTCGACGTGCCGCCGCCGGCGTGCATGGCGCTCGACCTGCTCGAGGCGCTCTACGCCGAGGATCGACCGCTCGTCGACGGCTCGGGCTCCGCGGCCGCGCGGCTCGTCCGCGGCGAGCGGCGCTGGGTCGTCGCCGGAGGCGCGGGGGCCGGCGTGCCCTGGCACGTCGACCCCTTCGGCACGGCGGCCTACAACGTGCTCCTGAGCGGGTCGAAGCTCTGGGCCTTCTTCGAGCCCGCGGCGCCTGGGAACGCGCCGCCGGGCTGCCGCGCGGACGACTCGCCGCCGGCGCGGGCCTGGTTCCTGGACTTTGCGCACTTCTTCCGCGCCGACGTCGCGCCGGACGACGGCGACCACGCGGGGCGCCTGACCTGGGCCCTGCAGCGCGCGGGCGACTGCGTGTTGCTCCCGCCGGGCGCGTGGCACGCGACGCTGAACCTCGGCGAGGCCGTCGGCTACACGCGCAACGTCGTCGACGCGCGCTGCCGCGGCGTCAAGCGCGCGGCGGCGCTCCTGGGGGCCGACGACGCGTCCCTCGCGGGGCGGCTGGAGCGCGTCGCGCGGAAGCGGCGGGCCTAGGATTTTCCCGTAGTTACCGTCGCGCGGCCTGCTCGATGGCGTCGAAGAAGGCCCCGGGGCTCCGCGCGACGATGGCGTTGGTGATCTTCGCGCCGACGGCGCTGTCGATGGCGCCCTTGGGGTTGACCTGGGTCAGCAGCGTGAGGTCCGTGCGGCCGTCCTTCCGCGCGGCGACGACGTTCGCCGCGAGGACGACCTCCGCGCGGCGGTACCGCTTGACCTCCGGCCGGGACGCGTGGGTCACGGCGCGGTTGACGACGCAGCGCGCGCCGCTTCTCAGCGTCGTGAAGTGGCAGAGCGTCACGAAGTCGCGGGGCTTGAAGGGCCCGAACGGCTTCGTGGCGGACCACGAGACCTTCGTCGTCGCGTCCCAGCGGTCGATGTCCTCGCACTCGACGCAGTACTCGTTGAAGTCCTTGGCGCGCGCCGCGTCGGCGAAGAGCGCGTAGACGGCGTCGGGGCTCGCGTCGATCGCGCCCTTGGCGAGGATGCACGCGTGGCGGCCGGAGCCGTCGTTCAGACGCCACACGCGCGCGCGGCCCTCCAGAGTCACGGGCTGCCAGCGGGCGTCCGTCTCGTCGAGCAGGGCCTCGACGCGGTCCACCGTCTCTCGGTTCGCTTTGCGCAGCGCGCCGGCGTCGACGGCCGTGGCGGCCTTTGCCGCGGTCTTGTCGCGCGTCTCTTTGACGCGCGCCTGCAAGCGCGTCGCGGCGCTCGTGAGCTGATCTCCCAGGTTCGCGCTTGCGAGCGCTAACAGTGCTAACACGAGCATGCCAGAGCGCGCCATGCTGATCAGAATTGAGCGCGAGGCTGCGTGCGCATAGCTGCGCAGCTTCAAAAATCGATCCCAGCAAAGGCATCATCAACCTGACTCGAAGAAATTGGTGTGTTCCTCAGCTCGTGATGGTGGCCATCCTGGCGGAGCGGCAGCCCCTGCTGCGCGACAACGCCGCGCGGCCGTGGCGCCGCCTCCTCGCGGCAGCGGCGGCGTGCGCGGCGCTCTTCGCGTTCCGCGGATCGACGCGGCCCGGCGCGACCGCCCTGGCGGCAGCCTCGTCGACGGCAGCCGCCTCGAAACCGACCGCCGCCTCGTCGACGGCAGCCGCGTCGAAACCGACCATGTACGTCGTCGAGTCGGACCTGGGCCAGGGCGGCGCGGCGGCGAAGTGCTTCACCTGCGGCTACCACGCGAGCTTCCTCGCGGACGTCGTCGGCGTCGAGCTGGACAAACAGGTCACCGTCCCGAGCCTCTCGGCGCTCCTCGACGGCGGCCGGCTCCGCGCCGGCGACGTCGTCGTCTTCTCGCTCATCTCCGAGATGGTCACGGGCGCGCCCGACACGACCGCGCCCGTCGCCGCCGTCGACGCCGCCGCGCGGAACGCGCCCGAGTCGACGAACGACCAGGCGTACCTGTCAGGGCAGGACAAGAGAGCGAAATTCCCAACTTCAAAGGCTCCTTTCTCGGCCGTTTTCCACTCGTTTCGGCTGATTTTTGGACGAGCGATCATCTCTCGGAACGGTCTCGAAGCGTGGATGCTTTGACCGGAACGCGCGCGCGCGGAACACTCACGTTGAAGCGACGTCGAATCTCTCTTGTCCTGCCCAGGTACCTGTCCGCGTGCTCGTACCACTTCGGCGAGGAGAACCGACTGCTTTACGCGCCCGCGGTCGCGCGCCTCCTCGAGGTCGAGCGGCCCCTCACGCTGGTGTTGGCCGACGACTGGTCCTGCCACGCGCGGTTTCCCGCGAACTCCAGACACAACGTGCTCCGCAACGGCCACGGCACGGGCGCCATGGGCGGCGTCACCTACCTGCCCTTTGGCGTGCAGTACGTGCCCGCGACGGACTTTTATCACGCCCGCGACGCGGCGCCGCTCCTCCCGGCGAGCGAACGGCCCGTCGTCTTCTCGGGCGCCGGCGCGGGCGACTGGCGGAAGCCGAGCCGCGACGCGTTGAACGCGACGGTCGCGCGCCACCGGGGCGAGTTCGACGCGCGCTTCGGCGGCGATGCGTGGGTCGTCGACTACTACAAGTTCCAGATATCCCGCGACGGCTTCTCCGGCCCCGGCTACACGTGGACCGAGTCCGCGGCGGCGTTGGACAACGGCATCGGCGACTACTTCGACCTGCTGCGCCGGTCGCGGTTGACGCTCTGCCCCGCGGGCGACGTCTGGGAGGGCGGGTGCGTCGTCCAGGCGCTGGAGATGGGCTCCGTGCCCGTCGTCGAGGACGCGGCGCGCTACAAGGGCTGCGAAGACCCCGCGGCGTTTTACCGCGAGTCCGGCGCGTTCCTCGTCCGCGACTGGTCCGCCCTGCCGTCGCTGCTGGCCGAGTGGGCCGACGCGGGCCTCCTCGACGGCGGCGCGCTCGACGCGCGCCAGGCCGGCCTCGCCGCGTGGTGGGCGGACGCGAAGCGAACATTGAAGCAAAACGTCGCGGCCTTCGCGGCCGCCGCGCCGGCGTCGACGAACGCGTGCGCCGCGGCGCCGCTGGCGGGCGACGCCCGGGCCGCCGCGCTCGAGACCTACGCGGCCTACTACGCCCAGGACCACTGGTGGGACGACTTCGAGGACTCGCCCTGGCTCCCGGGCCAGATCTGCTCCAAGCTGTACCAAACAGTCACGAAGCAGGCGGCCTGCTTCTCGAGCGCCTGCGCGCCGCCGGTCTTCGCGTCGATCGAGTGCGGTTAATCTAGAGGACGGCGTAGCACGCCATCGTGGCGATGCCGCACTGGTTGTCCTTGTTGCGCGCCATCTTGACGTAGCCCTTGTCGCCCCATAAGGCTCCCCAGGAATTCCGCACGATCCAGTAGTCCTTCGAGCCCTCGGAGCCGTAGCCGACGACGGCGACGCCGTGGTCGATGTCCGACGCGCCGTTCTTGCAGCCCTTGTGATCGTAGACGCCGCGGAAGTAGAGCTGAAAGAAAACGCTCGACGCGTCGATGCCCACGGAGACGACGGGCTGCGCGTAGGCCGCGGCCTGGAGCGCGGTCTCGTCGCCGTGGCTGACGTTTTCGTAGCCCGAGAAGTGGCCGACGGCCTTCGAAGCGTCGTACTTGCACGCGCCCTTGGACCACAGACCGTATTTGTAGTCCTTCTCGGGCTCGATGCCGCCCTGCGCCTGACGAACTCGACGGCCTTGTACATGAAACCGCCGTCGCAGGCCTTCGGGCCGATCTCGCAATCCAAAATTTGCTGCTCGGAGAAGACGTTGGAGCTATTTGTCTTGTAGTTCCAGGCGCCCTCCATCGTCGCCACGGCGGAGAAGGCCCAGCACGACCCACACGCCAGCTGGTTCTTCACCCTCCCGACGACGTGCGGCACGTCGCGCCAGTCGAACGCGTCGGGAGGCGGCGCCGCCGCCGAGGCCGCGGGAGCCGCAGCGCCGCCGGCGACGCCGCCGCCGCCGAAGCTCAGCAGGGTGGCGCGATATTCATCGAGCGACAGGTCGGCCAGCGGACCCTCGGTGGTCAGCCAGAAGCTATGCTCTCCGGCGTCGGCGGCGGCGTTGTGCTCGTCGACCAGCTTCTGATTGCTCAGGAAGTTCGCGCGGCGCACGTCGAGCGTCGCCGTCGACCGCGTGTTGGCGCCGTGCGTGTCGAGCCACCGCTGGAAGCCATCGTCTCCACGAACGCTGCCCAGTGCGAGGACGAGAATCGTCGCATACTTCATATTGGGCAGCCTCCAGAGAGCGCTGCACCATTGCAGAAAGGAAGACTAAATCTTTGTTAGCGCCTCGCACGCGATGGGGCCCATAAAGGCAACGTGGACGGAGCGGAGCACGGTGAAGACGCGGGGCGAGAGCGCCGTGATCCTGCGGAGCGCAAGCGGTGTATACCGGCTCGGGCGGCCCGACGACGCGGCGACGTCGCTGCCCCTCATCGCGGCGGCCCCGCACGCGGCCGGCGACGCCCTCGAGGACGGCGAGGACGTCGAGCTGTCCAAGTCGCGGCCCGGGAGCCGGCGGCGGCGGCGGCCGCGGTCGCGGGCCGCCGCGAAGCCGTCGGAGGAGGGCGCGCTCGCCGCCCGGGGGCCCGAGGCCAAGGTCTCGGCGACGCTCGCGGCGGCGCGGACCGACGCGGGCCGCGTGGCCCTCATCGAGCGCCTCGAGGAGTACGAGCGGAAATTCCAGGCCATCCCGCGGGAGTTAAGGGCGACGAACTACGTGCGGCTGAACGAGCGC